TAGCTGCCTTATTAGCTGCTTAAAGCTTAGTAATTTTCTATTACACTAACACTAGCTTATGTATAGTTATTGCTGCCCTTTTTAAGGCTTTTTTTTTAGAGACATTACCCCTCTATAACCCTCTCTATATGTAGAGCTACTTATAACACAACTAATATCTACTAGAGATTGCTGCCTGCTGCTGTAATCTACTATAGTTTACTACAATTTGCTATAGTTTACTATAATTTACTATAGTTTACTATAATTTGCTGTAGTTTACTATAATTTACTATAGTTTACTATAAATTACTATAGTTTACTTTATGCATCTTTTAACACTAGTAGGCAATCTCTTACTAACACCTTTAAGCATTAGCCTATTATATTTAAACAGTAGTTAAAGAAGCTAAACTAGCAGTTATGTAAGTAAAATAGCTTATTAAAGTATTACATGTACTACATTAATCTTTGTAGTAATAGAGAGGCAGAGGCAGAGGTAGAGGCAGCGCTAGAGCTCCCTAGCGCTTTAAAAAATTTCTATAAAGGTAATAAAATATATAAGCTAAGGCTCTATAACTAAAGCTTTAATGCTAAAATAATTAAATTAAAAATATTAGGTAGCAGTATTAGGCATAGTGTAGTAGTATTAGGCAGTAAAAGGAACAGGTGTAACATGTAATAAGGTAGGCATAGTTAACTACATAGCCTTCTCTTGCTTATAGAGGTTTAGGCTAGACTAGAGACAACTACTAGTGCTAGTGCTAGCCCTAGCATTATCTATATATATATTATACTATGCAAGAATACTTAGCTTAAGTATTCCTATACATACTTTTTAGTATAGTAGAGAAAGTTACATAGTATTAGCTTAGTAGGCAGAGCGTCTACCTTATTACACAACGCTAAAGACTGCAAGGTGTAAAGGGGAGAATGTAAAAAGTATTAAGCAGAAAACACAGGTTATAGAGAGGGAATATAAAATAAGAAAGTAACAAGAAAGAGTAAACTTTAAAGTTAAAAGCAAAGGTATAGAGGCTAAAGAGCCTATATACTCTGTGCTAAGCCCTTAGGATACTTAGAGGTTAGATAGCTGTAACATAACTGTAATAAAAAAAGACTATTATAAAAGTAAGAACATATTAAAAGCTAAAGCTAGCTATTATTTACATTTTTAGCTATATTAGTGTGTTAGTAATTAGTTACATGCTATAGTTAAATGTTGTTATTATATATTTATTACCTATCTAATACTACTTTACTAAGCATTATGCTGTAACTATTCTTTAACCTAGATAACCTACTTTAATGCGCTAACTATTACTGTTGCGTAAAAAGAGCATAAGGACCTTGCGTTGCGCACATAGGCTTAGTGTTGCGCCTGTGTTTTAGACAAGCAGCCTAAGACACTTAGCGCCTAAGCTCTTTATAAGCCTTTTATAGTTAATAGACTTACTTCTTATTACTCTCTAATTAGTAGTTGCAATAATTACTCTAAGCAAGCTTTGCTTTTACAGATTATTTATAAACTGTTGTAGTATTTTAAGTTACTTATAAAAACACTATAAATTAATCTAAGTTAATAATATTTTTATTTATTAGTAAGTTAATTAAGGCTGTTATATTATAGTTAAGTTAAAAGTAGGTATATAGTAACTAAAAGTGTTTAGAGAGAAATTAGTCTATGTTTTCTTTAAGTTTATATTAAAGCTTATGTAGAAAAAAAAGTAAGTCTTTTTGTTTTCTATTAAACAGCAAGAGATTAGGAAGTTAGTTAGATTTTATTACTAAGTTAGAAAAGTTATAGGTTATAAGTAGTGTTAGGCAGAAGAAAGTTAAGCTATCTTTAGACTTCTAAGTAAGCTTTAAGGCTAGTAAGTTCTTAGTTCCTACTACTATAATAAAAGTTAAGGCAGAAATAAACTACTTAATAATATAAAGCTGTTTTTTAAAGTCTTTTTAAAAAGCTTTAAAGCTTATAATGTAGCAGCTTTTCTATAAAGTAAGCGCTTTTTAAAAGGCTTTTTAGCTTACTTTAATAGCTTAAAGTTATGTAAGTACTAAGCTTATTAAATTAAATTTAAAAGCTATTCTTAGCTAAAGTTTTAACATAACATAATGTTATAATTATGTATAAGTAAGGTTATAAAGCTTTATAGAGGTCTAGTTTAATTACTACATAAGGTATTATAGTAAGTATAAGACGTTATGTAAGAAATAAGAAAGTTTAAAAGAAAATTAGTAATTAAATACTTAGCTTAGAAGTCTAAGCGCTTTAAGTATAAATTAAGCCTATTTTAGGTTTAGTTAGTATTAAGGCAGTTTATGCTTAAGTTTATGTCTGTGTTATGTTGTGTTTGTGTTAGACGTGCACTAATAATACTCTAGTACGCGTCTAATACAGTTATGTCTAGGATCCGGGGAGGATACTGTGACAAGTGTAGGTGTAATAAAGAATTTAGCTTAGTAGAAAGTATTTAACCTTTTAGATTAAATTTAAAGTAACATAAAATTACATAACTTCTAAACCTTAAGAAAGGGCTTAGATTTAGGCGCAAGGTTACGCCTTAAAAAGAGATAGGGCTTTATAATAACTAGCTATCTAGGTGTTTCCTAGGCTGTTGTAGACTGGCCTAGACTGCACTAGGCAGTCCTAGACAACTCTTAAACTGTGCTGTTAACCCTACACTTCCTAGACAATGCCTACCTTGCCTAAAAAGCTAGGCATCCTAGACAGGTAATACTTTGAACTGGACCTACAGCATACTAGATCTGTCGCTACCAGCGCTGCCGTGCCTGGCTCTCTGGAGAAGTATATAGCCAGTTGTAGAAGCCCTCTTTAGATAGCAGAGGATTGCCTTAGGAATTAGGCGGGTACTAATTGTACTCCTATGTCACAGTCACGCCCTTGTTGGTCAATACACCTCTTGATTGCGAAGTGTATACCCTGTTTTTTACAGGCGCCCCGCCTGCCAAGCCGATACTATACGACTTTCCCCACTGTACCAAAAGGTACGCACGAGAATACTTAAGCTAAGTATTCTCGCATAGTATTATATATATATAGGTAATGCTAGGGTAAGCACTAGCACTAGCGGTTGTCTCTAGCCTAGCCTAAACCTCTATGAGCGAGAGAAGGCCACGTGGTTGACCGTGCCGACCTCGTTACACTATCCAGCTTGACAACTAGCGACCTAGATCTCCTAAAATTTTGCAGGCTCCCTAATAGAGCCTGTCTTAGATAGGTCTTAAATTCTAAAGATAATATATTGTGTAGTTAGAGAGTTGCATTAAGGTGTAGTTGTAGGGTTATTAAATGTCCTGCGCAGGACTTAATGGCGCAATACTCTGCTAAATCTTGTTAGAATTAGGTTACAAAAACGCTAGGATATAGCTAGAGACTGTCTCTATTACCTATTAAAATCTAACCTAGTTTAGACAAAAAGTGGTAGAGCTACAGTAATTCTTAGTTAAGCTAGTGCATAGTGGAGGAGGTTTAGAACCACAATATCACCTAAAAAATCACAAAAGTCCCTTAGACAGCTAGGGAGATGGGGCTTGCCCCTGTCGAGGCTCTCTCCCCATCCCGTCTGAACTTGCTGAGATAACTGACTATATAGTAGATAAAACAGCGTTAGTCCTAAACAGAAAACTAGTGTGGTCAAGCACCCGCATTTACGCTTGACGCAGGGTCACGTGAACTAAAGGCATGTGCGACAGATTCCAATGCTCAGATCCGACAAGCCGTGATTTAATTTTTGAGAAAACTAGGTTCTTGCTAATGTAGACAGATCGATAGCTGGATGAGGTATTACGGCATCATTTGTTAGGGCGTCAACCGCCAAAGATATCCGAAGACCCCGAAGACCCTAGCCGGCATTCCATCCTCACTTTCCAGGTAACATAGATGGGGTTGGAATAGAGCTCAATCAGATGGAAAAGATGAGGGATATAAGTTCATGCCCCTGCCGTACAATAGCATGATGGGATATCACATTTGAGAGCGAGATAAAGGGGTGGAGGGACTCAGCAACATGTAACATAGGAAGTTGGTGGGAATACTCAACTATGACAGCTTTTGTGGAATTGCCGCAATAGAATGAAGTGGAGGGATAGGAGATTCCCAAGGTCACTGCTTCGATAGATAGATAGCTATGGTACAGCTCCCAAGCTAGCCCGGCATCTTGGATCAAGCCTTCTTCGCCTCAAGAAGACAGCCAGCCCCTGGCATCGCAACTTTCGCTCTCCACACCTTGACCAACTCAAAGCCGGCCGATTCCACCAATTTCCTCCACTGTGACTCTGTTCTCTCGAGCGAAGATAATCTTGCCATCATGTGTAGATCGAACCTGGCCTCATGAATGGAGACTTTGGATGACTCCAGGATACCTTCGTTGATTAAGAGAATAGATTCATCGGACATTGCAGATTTGACGTTCTGTAGAATTATTCGAGCTTGCTTATCAGGCCAGTCGTGCAGCACTGTCCTTAGGTAGTATGCTTTCGCATTCCGCACCAACGCTGGTTGCGGTTGGAAGAAGTCGTGACCTATGGCGGTAATGCCGTTAGGTAGGTCTACAGCGGCTTCAATCACCAATGGGAGGTCTTCCAGTATAAGTTGGCCTGTCAGTGTGGGAAAACACTGCCTGAAACGAATGATATCATGTCCTACACCACCTCCAATGTCAACAAGCAATGGATCCGTTGCTGATTTCACCCGAAGCTTCTCTTCTACAGGGTAGAACTGGAACCATTCATCTCCTCGACCTTTCCGCTGTATGCCCATGACAATGTTAAAAGCATTCTGTAGCCTTGGTCGTGCAGACAGCCAGTTGAAGTAGTGGTTGTCCGTGCACTCCGCGTACTGCCAAGGGCCATTGAAGGCGTCACCCGGACTCCGGTACCCTCTCTCAGCGAAATAATCGGGCAGCTTGGTCATAGAAGGCCCGGCAGTCGACCTCCAGTTTGTGAGTTCAACCAATCATTAAGAGGGACGGAAGGAATGAGTATAACAAATGCATTCGGGCCGGCCCTTTTGCCATATTGACTTACAGGTGAAGGATTGCCGCTGCAAGAGGTGAACCTGAAGAATATTCAAACGCTAGGGGTCTCGGGGAGTACAAGTCATCTCCTTCCTCTGCAAATACACCTCTGCAGGCCAATAATCTCACCACCCGACCTCCGCATGATGAAGTTAGTAAAGATTGAGCAACGGGAGGATCATACCCACGGACGAGCACGGGGTCGCAGGAGATTTTGGATGCAATTTTCTGGATCGAAACCGGCCCATTCGCTGATACCACGGCATCCATGAGGTTCATGTCTATAGCCAATCTAAACGCAACGGCATCATACCCCTTCACCGGAATCAGCAATTCAGATATCTCCTAGCAACCGTACCGTTACTCACCGCGAGCATCGTGCGAAGCGTGGTCTCGGCCGGAGTTTCTAAGGCGTCTCGCAATGTAGTGCAAGCAATCAACAGATTTTGGCGCTCCTCTTCCGTTACGTTCGAAGGAACGACTTGGGCCGTAGCTTGCATATTCGTCATAAGCCCATGAATATCCATAGTGAACGAATTAGGGAGCATTTCCATCTCGGAATCAGGATATTTCTGGCTTTTAGCATCTGTAATGGGAAGCGGCCATTGTTATCTTCGCAGGTGAAACTAATTTCGAGTGGACAGGGACGAATGCAGATGGAAGGATGAAATTAAATGAAATTCCAAATAAGAACTAGAAGGATGACATACCTAATGTAGAAATCAGGGCGGAAAATCAGCCTTATCATGCCAAGGCAATATCGAAAGCGCAGCGTTGCAGCTGGCATGAATACGAGAGTTGCCGAATGCTCATCTAGCCGCATCTGGGGACCCTCAGACAGATCCCTAGATTGCATGAAACGAGCCACTCAACCTCGCCCATTCATGGCAACTCCGATACAGATCATCTGCATGCTCTTCACCGGGATTTGAAACATACAGGTGAGTATTACAAGCACAATAGGGATTAAACTTAGTTGACATGGGGCAGGTGGAGGACCAATGCTTATCTTTTGCTCCGCAAAACCTTTGGCTGGAATGGGTTCGCCAAAAGGCGAGGGACGTACTCGTTTCTCACCCTGAAGGCTATATCAACTCGGACGTTGGGCATTGCGGACACTGCAATCCTTTGACAAACTCGATTATTGTGTATCGTTCTCTCACAAGCTTCCCGGCGCCACCATGGGTCGACAGACAATTCGCTCCTCCCACGCAAATGATCCACGCCGTCAACCCACTATAAAGACGCTGATCCCCTATGCGGAGCTCATTCGCCTCCACCGCCTGGGTGGGAATCTCAACATCTTTTTTCCCTGCTTCTACGGCTACATCATCACTGTTCTGACTACGCACCCTTTGCCGAGTCCTCCTAAGGTCTTCGGATTTCGCCTGCCTCTGATGGTTGCATCAGCATTCCTACTCCGATCAATGGGATGTGCATGGAACGATATTATGGATGCCAGCGCTGATCGTCAGGTGGAACGTACTCGATCCCGTCCCATGGCTCGCCGAGCGATCAGTGTGCCGATGGCCTGCTTTTTCACAGCAGGTCTATTCGTCTTGTGGATCTCGACATTGATACCACTTATTCCGGATCATGGACATCTCGTTGTCTACACTCTGCCGCAGATACTCATGGTTCTGATTTATCCACTTGGCAAGAGAGTGTCGTATTATGCCCAATTTTGGCTAGGAATCACACTTGGATGGGGCGTTTTTCTTGGTGCGGAAATGGCAGGTTTCGATGTTGTCACCCATATCACCAAGGCATTCGGAGCGTTGCTTGAGGGGAAATATGTTCCTATAAGGCGGCTATCACCATTGAATGAACCTCGTGTGCATTCTCTGGGTGCCTGCTATGCCGGGTATGTCGTTTGGTCCGTTATTTACGACACAATATATGCCTTCCAAGACGTCCGAGACGACAGAAAAGCTGGATTGAAGAGCATGGCTGTCCTCCTTGGAGCGAAAGCAAAACCCTTGCTAGCAGTCCTATCGGCCTTTCAGGTGTTAATCTTTGCGTACGTTGCCGTGCTTATCCGGGCCGAACAACTTCCAGATGCATTTCACAATGTGCTCGAACCCCGCGATATCCTTAAAAACATGTGGAGCTATTTCCTCTACGCTGTCCTAGGCAACTTTGTGGCTCTGGCTAGCATAATCGCGAAAGTTGACCTGGAGGACCCGAAGAGTTGTAATTGGTGGTTTCAGCACGCAAACATCTGGGTCGGTGTAAGCATTGGGGCTGGATTAGTAGCGCAGTATATTTTCATGGCACTCTAATGTGTAGAACGTGAATTGATATGGACTCCTGGTGATGTGCTAGGGTTGAAGTGGATAAGATCTGGAAGCTGGTTGTAGCCGGTTTCTTTATGGCTTGTTGGGATTTATTTTTTTGGCGGAACCCTAACACAGTGCTGATTCGCAAGGTATCCATTGTGTCAAGCGTCTCCAATCGCTCTATAGCCCTCCATATTCTGTGCGGACACGGTGAGGTGGAGAGGCCCTAAATGGGGTTTGTGTAGCGCTTTAAGCCACATCGACCTTCAGTGGTACGTTCGCCATGACGTTTTGCTTAGTTCTTCAGTTACCCTGTTATGGTGAAATGCGTGCTGATCCTTCCAGGGGTCGAGCATTGAATCCTGTCCAATCCCCATTATCGATAAGTCCCTAGAATATAATCACAGTCTGGGGACTCAGATCCATCAAATATATTCGAAAGGATAAATAAATTATTTGCGTGCATTAGCTTTTGCTCGTGTACATATTTTGTGAGCATCCTTAGCCTATATTGATTAGGAAGGTAAGATGGTGGGCATTGGAATGCGAATAGTGCGGGGATACGAGGCAGATTCTTGAAGGATTGAGGATTCGTCTCCATGTATTATGTGATCTTCTATCAAGCTGGAACATCAGTTGGCAAGGTAAAATGTCGTGGCAGCTCCGAAAACACATTTAACAGGCCAGCAATAAATGACAGCAGCTGTACCTGCTTCTCGTCCCGCCGCCACCCACCATCATCGCGTGGAATCCTCGTCGAAACAATGACTTCGAACCCTACCATTGTAATTTGCCCTGGCGCGTGGCCCGTTCGGTCCTTCTTTGAACCCCTCCAATCTGCCCTTTCTGCCTTGTCTCATCCCACCATCATTTCCATAACCGATTACAGCAATATCGACACCCTCTTAAGCACTCCCTCTAATCCCGACGCGACGTCTTTGCGCCAAACCCTTCAGACCCTTATCGAGACCTCGGAAAGGGAGGTCGTACTCCTAATGCACTCCTACGGTGGAGTGTATGGACCATCTTCCATCTCCGGTCTCAGCTTCCGCGAACGGCAATCCAAAGGCTTGAAAGGTGGAGTCGTAGCGCTGATCTTCTTTACATCATTCAACGCTAAGAAGGGAGAATCAGCTATGGATGTCCAGGGATTCAGTCTCTCTGAGGGCAAAACTCCGGACTGGGCGCATTATGAACCCGACACGGGGCTCGTAGAACTCACGAAGGCTAAGGAAATGCTGTATCACAATATGCCTGACGATGAAGCTCAGAGATTGGCGGGTGTGTTACCAAAAATGCCGATTGTCTGTTTTGTGAGTAAATTAGAGTACGATCCCTTTGGAGACGAATGGTACAATGGAGCTTTCGGGTACGTGTTCTGCGGAGGAGATCGAATGCTGCCTCTTGAAGCACAGAAAATGTATGCAGAACGGGCTGGTGTGACAAGATCCAGGGAACTCAAGGAGAGTAGTCATAGCCCGCATCTTGAACAGCCGAAGGAATTGGCTGAGGCGGTTGTTGCAGTTCTAGAGGATATCATTGAAGACTTGCGCCGGAAGTAGGAGAAGAAACGAATCCAAATTCAGGCTATTGCTACCGCTGCCTTTGATGAGAAACCATCACCCCTAGGTTCTTTCTCCATTACATCGACATTCGAAGCATATCTATTTGAGCGTGGTTCATACAATGCCCGCAGTTCCTCCGCGTACAGCTCGACCGTTCTGCCCCTCTGCACCGTCCCCTTGTCACTCCGACACATACCCCGCTCATTGGTCACAATGATGTAACTTTTGAGTATCCTGTGGTCGACAAAATAAGCCCGATTTAGCTTCTCCACGCTTTCCCAGATGCCATCGATGAAGCTCTGATTAGAGACCGCGCAGTCGTTCGGCTCTACAAGAAGAGCGGGTCGTGGGCGCCCATTTCCAATCATCAACACCCCTTTTATATGTTGATGTTGGTCTAGTCCATGCTCCATAATCATCGGATTAACGTTGGCGGCGGTTGATAAGGAGATAGTGTCGTCAGTCCTCCCACACCACTTGTAAGCTCCCGGGATCCTGGGGTGCGCAAGGAATAAATCGTGCGTAGGATACTCCTCCAACTCCTCAAACAATGTGAAGACGGGCTGAACTTTCAAATTCTCCACGTCGCGGACTATAAAGGCTTCGTAGATGGTCTCGTCGTTGCTCGAAGAATAAGGTCGGAACTGCCATCCTGCGGTAGGATGGGGAATGATGTAGTTGTACATCGTGCAATCCCATCCGCCTAAGGCCCGAAGAGATGGCACCGTTCCCTGCTCGGTAGCACCGTATCGGCCCCAAAATTCCATTTTCGCACTCATGATATCAGCGTGAGCTTCGGACACTTTTCCAGCGGCGTAAACTAGACTACTTGCACGTGATGTTACAATTTCGACATACTTTTGGTTGTTCGCAATTTCCTCAATAAAATGAGGAGGCACATAACAAACATCGGCATCAATCGTACCAAGGCCTTGGATCAGAGTTTGAACATTGACGGGGGCTTCTGCGGGTGGAAGGATGATGGGAGTCTCGTTCGTCAATGCACCGAAAACCGTGATGTCCAGATTTGCACCCTGGAATGACTTAACTCCATCTAGGAGAGTGAGAGGGGAAATGTCTCTGACGTACATGATAAGGCGTTAGCATCACAAATACCCGACAACCTCTCATTCGACTCTCTAAGCACTCAAACCCTGGTGGTGAGGGTGCATGTAGACTTTGAAGATATGTCGCGAGCCAGTCATTCTTCAACACCATTGGTCGGGGTGTACTCGATGTACCGGATGTGTGCAGTACGAGAAATGGGTCATGTTTCGCTTGCTCAAATGGCTTCTTGTACGGGTAAGAAGGATAGTCTTCAACAAGCAAAGTGTTCAGAGGAGGGACTTGATAAATAGGAAGAGGGCATCCATCTTTGATAGATGGGATGTGAAATCCCAAGGGGTCCGAGGTGAGAATTGCTTTGCAGGAAGTACTGCGCAGGAGCGATTGCGTATCGCACAGCTGAAGGCGATGTGATGTAAAGAGGCACTACACGATGAATGTTAATGAATCATGAAGTTTTGGAACACAATTGATATTGTTTGCTGACCTTATAGCCAGCCTTTATGCAAGCAAAAATGATGGCAGTTTGGCGAATGTCATTTGGACCCAGGTAGAGTAGTGTATCAAAGGACGCGCTTCTTCCAATTTGTGCCGTGATCCACCAACCCAAGCCATTCACAGCATTTGCCAGTCGATGGTACGTGATCCTCCGAAAGCCTTTGTCATAACCCACGGGAGAGATGGGTGCGTGCGCGTAAGTTGCGTTAGGCTTCACATTAGCCATTCCATCTAAAATGTTGACGAGAAGCTGCTGTCTGCAGTGGGAAGCCTTTGCCTGAGGTCGATTAACTCCTTCCTCGAATTGGAGAGTTGCCATAATGTCTTTCAGCGAATGTGTCGTGCCCTTGAAAGTAAAATAAGAACCTTAGCTAGTTGTATTGCTGAAAGCGAGGATGACCTCAAGTATCTGATAAAATGCAACTGTGACCTAAAATGGTAAAAGGGATATAAGGCAGAAACGCCTACCACCAATCTTCAGCTGTTTATGATTAGCCACAGCATATTGAGGAGCCGTGCATGGGAACGAGACCAGAGACCAATAGCGCAATAGCGAAAACGAGAGCGTAGTTTTGCGTTTAATCGAAATCTGAAGGTCGGACTTCGGTGGCTCTTTGGGGAATCCTTCTGCACGTCAAATCCTTCTCGTGTCTCGAGACAACTTCCTAAGAGACAAAGATTAGGATGATAGGCTAATCTCAGGGTCAATTCGGGGCCGGAAGAAGCGAGGTGCGCAGCCCCGGACTTCGTTAGTTACATGGATTCTGCAGCTGCAGGATGGGAACTCTCGGTGTTGAATGCGCTGCAGGTCTAAGACTGACTTCCACCTAGTGCAGGTAAGATAATCGTATAATAGAGGCTCGGCAGAAGTGAATGAGGGTGTAGGCGTCCCGAACAACTGGGATTTCGAAATCTTCTAGAATATTGAAATACCCCAGGGTGCTAGTCCTTCCGATTAACTTCCTGGACTGCCTTCTTTGCACCTCTACAATCATGGCCGATACGAATCACATTTTTGTCGCTGTTGTGGTCGAACATGTAATCGTGGGGGTGGCCGCTACAATTGCAGTTACACTCCGTTTTTACGCTCGGAAACTGACAAGGGCTGCTCTGAAATGGGACGACTGGTTTTCTGTTGCAGCCTGCTTACTCATGTGGGGTGACACTGTTTGCACAATACTCGGCATGCCGCCCACCATTCTGAGGGAGTAGGAGCTAAGAGTGTTACCTAGAGTATCGGCCATCGCTGAGGCGCCCCATCATGTATCTAACACTCCAAGATGTTAGCACTCTCATGCTGGTATGTGGTGACTTCATTTGACTACAAGTGACGGTTGCTGACCTGTTCAAGATCAACTGGATTTCCATATTCTTTGTTTCTGCAACTCAATCCGCTGCGCGATTGAGCGTCATCTTCCTATACTACCGACTGTTTTCGGTGAAGAGATGGCTTAGTTATACACTCATCTGCATCGGATCATTGTCTGTAGGATGGCTACTGTCCATGTTTTTTGGCACCATCTTCGTCTGCACCCCTGTGAAGGCAGCTTTCGATATAACTGTGAGAGGGAAATGCCTGAATGCGGAGGTGGTTTACCTATGGACGAACTCGATCGATTTGGTCTTTGACGCTATACTATTATGTCTACCAATCTCAGTAATCTTGAAACTGTCATTGCCGACAGAGGAGAAGGTTGGTGTCGCTGTAATTTTCCTGACTGGTAGCGTGTGAGTATTCTGAAGTTGCCTCTGAGATTATGAAGATTGCTGACTACGCTGCAGAGTCATTGTCACAGGCATCTTACGGCTTGTGATGACCTCAAAGAGTAGCCTTGACGGTAGGTGAAGATTCACCACCAATCTGCACTTTATCACTAACAGGGTTCCGTATAGACCTCTTGTCGCTGTCGCAGACGTCTCTATGGAACGAGCTCCACTTAGGCTTTGCGGTGATCTGCTGCTGCATGCCTGTTTTCAGAGTGTACCTGCCTAAGGAGGGAAGGATGCGCTCTAGATTTCGAGGCTTGTATAGGTCCCTGACTTCATGGATGGCGTTATCTAGCAGGGGAAATTCGCGGGAAATGGAGGATGACAGTGTTGAGCCATCATTACCAAGCTTTGTGCAGAGACGAAAGTCGATGCCGGTCATCGATTATAAGAGGCCGAAAGTGGGCGGTATGGACGCTAAATTTTCAGTTCTCTCAGAGGTAGAGATTGTCGGTGCCAGTGAGTACCATCGGTCGCACGGCCAAGAGTAGTGGAGGCGACGATGAACAATGGAAAATATACAGAGCAGATACTCCTTACCTGCGCATTTGCGGCTACACAAAGGTTGTTGCAGTAGAATGAGGATGACTCATCCATGCCCAGGTGAGGCCGTCGGAAAGTGACAGATGAAGCCTTGGAGAGTACGCGTGTAGTAGGGTTGCCACTTTTATAGTAATTACTATTTTTTTAAAAGTCTATAACAGCTTGATTACATTAGCTAATATTCTAAAAACCTAAACTTAGATACTAGGTATACTAAAGTATAGATCTATAAGATTAGTTTTTACTATATAAATTTATATCCCTAGTAATAAAGAACAAAAGAGAAGAAAAAAGCTGAAATAGTAATAGTAATTCTCTGTATTATTTCTTCTAGTAGGTAATAGAGGGGAGGAGGTAGATGCATATGCTTACTATAAGAATAGAAAAGGAAGAACAGAGTACGTTCTAAATATAATAGAATAATAATGTTAAACTTAACAGAACATGTCTACTGTAGGAACTAGGCGTAGCCTTATAAGTAGTTAACGTCTTCTAAACATGTTAACATAGCATTATAATTATGTTTAGTAGTAGATAACTTACTACATCTTAGTAGTTATAATGTATTTAGTTTAATAGTATAGTAAGTTATTATACTCTTTAACATATATTTAGAACTCTTTTTAAATAGTTTTTAAAGGTGTTTAACATTATGCTTTCTAGAAATTCTTCTAAAAAAGTAATCTTTAGCATATTCTGTCTAATATTACTATGCAGAGCAGCTAATATACTAATACTAGACTCTAGATATGTTTTATATCTGTTTTTAGCATGTTACTGTTACATTGTAAATATGTTATAAACATGTAACTTACTAGTAACTTTATTTATTATAAAACTAGACTGCACTGCGCTGTATAAGTCTTATAAGTAACTTTAATGTTAAATTAATGTTAAACTAATAGGAATAAACCTAAAAAGTGCTTTTTTTTCTTATTAGGCTTTACTTAAAGAGGGGTTTGTTAATACTAATAAAGCTTTTTCTAGAGTTTTATGTTTACATAATAATGTAAATATGTTTATAAGCTATTTTTAAGGTATTAGTAATACTTTGCACCTATGTATTAGTATTTTTACTATAAAGCCTAGTTATTAAGGTATAAGTAGGTTATACCTTTTTTTTTACTTTATTCTTACAGTAGTATTAAAACTAAAAGTAGTTAAAAATATTTTAAATACACTAGAAATATATTACTTATAGCTAATCCCTTTTAAAGCACCTTTTTAATTTACCTTTTATCTGTACTAACATAATATGTATATCTACTAGGAAGCGTTTATAGATACTTAGAAAGGACCTAAACTTATTAGATTCTAGCTATATATAAAGGTGCTGCAGCAGATAACATAAGAATTATAAGCTTCTAAAATTATTAATTAAATGTTAGTAATAAATTATAACATAGAACACAAGCGAGTTAGTAACATAAGCAAGTTAGTAGCCTTACTAACTTTGCGCAACGCGTTAACTATTAACTACTATAGCTTAACTAACTACTTTTTAATTATGTTTAAATAAAGTAGGTATTATTCTTACTATCTAAGCTCTTAATTACACGCAAATTAAAAGCGTAAATTATGCTATAGCTATGTTTACTATGCCTTAATTAACTTTAAATAACTAACACACTAGTTAACCTACACAACATAATTACTAGCTTAACTTAAAAAAGATTACTAAGCTAAAAAAGTTAACTATTAAACATATACTTAACCTTAATTTATAAGAATTCTTACTTAGCCTAAACACTGTGTAAGTTATAGCTAATAATCTGCTTACTGCACGCAGTGCTTAGCTAGTAAAAAAAAACTAGCTACTAAACTTTGTTAAGCATATAAATAGCCTTACTATGTGTTTTAATTAACTGTATAACTAGCAGCAAGCTCTATGTAAGGATCTTAGGATAATATAGACCTAGTTTAAGCTTGTACAGCGTACATAGGCTACCTATAAGATCTTAGACAAAGATACCTTTAACTTTAATAAAGCTAGCTTTATAATAAGCTAGATAATATTTTAAATAGTTATTACTAGCTTAGAAAGATATTATTAGCCTAAGGCAGTATAACTAAGTAATTATAAGTAAGTTATAGTTATTTAAGAAATTAATGCTATAAGGTAGGCTATCCTACTATACATTATTTTTAGGCCTAGTACTACCTATCTGCCTAGTATAAGGATTAGGATATCTTAGGCAACTAGAAGATTAGTGTAAGTAAGAATAGATAGACTAATAATAATCTTAAAGTTACCTAGCTAAAGCACTTTATTAAGCATACTAAGAATAAGATAGTAGGCGTGCGCTAACTTTTAGTCTTAGATAGTTATGTAAGCTATTACTTAGCTATATTTAAAGACTTTTATAAAAAAAACAATATTTATACGCTTTATATACCTCTACATTTATTACATCTTCTCTAGCTGCTTAATGTTAGCTACTTCTTACTATTAAAGTGTGTGTATAAAGATAAGATTAATAGCTTAGTTTACTACTATATAAAGTATATTACTAAGGTTAAATTCTTGCCTTTTTTTAAAGCAGCTTTTAAAAAGGCTTTTACACTAAAGAATATTTACATAAGTTTTAAAGGTGTAAGGCTAGTCTTACTTACACTAGAAGTAGTACTATTAAAGCTTAATGTAGTTATTTATATACTTTTACTACTACTACTACCTTAACTAAAGGCTCTTTAGGTGTTATAAACACTAAGTAATATATATAAACTTAAGGCGTAGTTAACTTTACTTTATATAAAGATTTAATAGCATTAAAACTTATTCTTTATATAAATGCTTTAGATACTAGATTATCTTACTAAAGGTGCTAAAATAGTAATGTATTTAGCTTTACTACTATGTAATTAAGTCTTTGCTTTTTAGAAAGCTAATAAGGCTGCAACAAAGTAAAAGGCGTGTAAAAAAAGGCAGATCTAAAATTATAAAAATATAATAATTAAAAAAGGTGTAGATATAGTTACTTAAAAAACGCGTAGCAGCTAGCAGAGCAAAGTAGGTAGCAGGATGCATTAGCATTAAGGCAAAGTTAACAGGCTCTTACACGCTATAGTTGCTGTAGAGAGCCTAGTTATAATTCTTACACATGTAAAAAGAATACTATAGACGCTACTTTATCTTAGATACTTATATTTTTATAGTATTTTAATGCGTTGTTAAGTTGTGTTGTTTTAAAAGTGGAGAAAGCTAGTAAGGCTACTAACTTGCTTATGTTACTGACTTGCTTGTGTTCCATGTTAAACATATTTTAAACATGCTTATACTTTATATTTAATGTTACTACTTTTTTCTTTCTTTTTTTCTACTTAATCTTGCTTCTTTTAATTTTAGGGCTAAGAAGGCTGCTGCAGAGGATATTGCAGTAAGGTAAGACTAGAGTTGTCTATATCTAGTAAGGAAGAAGTAGTGTGGTAAGAAAGACACTAATCTGTCTAGCAGAAATTTTATTAGGCTAACAAAGTAGTGCCAAGACTTTAGCGTGCATTAGCGTGTGGCCGGCTCACCTTTAGCGTTGGACGGCCGACGTGTAGCCTCTCCTCCACGCCCCCCCTAGTTTAACTGAAATAGAGCCGACCTGCTCTACCTCGCTTCCCCAGCTCCATACAGTAGTAGAGACAGTGCTTGTCATCACATCGCCTGCGCTGTTACAGTGTAAGATATATAATAGTATAGTATCTTTATAAACTACTAGTACTACTGTCAGATTGAAGCACTGTTTCTGGGCTTCCTGAGATGAATGATGGGTTTTGGATATGATGTATGGGATGATGATTGATTGTCTTGATTGATCGATGTTTTTTTTTTTGTCTGCTCTGCTCGTGTTGCTCGGCTTTGTTTTTCCGGTCCGAGTCCCTCGCGCACTAGCCCTATGCGCGACCAGCTTGCAACATGCTGCAATTTGCAGCAACATACTGTTCGAGCTTATTGCTCGTACTATGTAGCAGCTTTCGTCCAGCGTTCCTCCTGTCTTGACAGTAGGTGCGCATATCTGACAACTACTTAGTTTATGTCACGGTTATGTTACAGCTATCCAACCCCTGAGTACCCTAGGCTTGGCACGGGGTATATAGGCTCCTCGGCCTCCGTACCTCTGCCTCCGACCCTAAGGTTTACTCTTGTTACCCCCCTATCCTGCATTCCCTCTCTGTGACCTGTGTTTCCTGCTCGATACCTCTCACAGTTTATGTAAAGATAAGACTTAAATGTTAATTACAACCCTCTAAACAATAGTTAAGATTAAGACTATATACTTCTAGTTTGCATACAATGCATGCATCCTGCCAAGCCACTATCTCCATCCGGGTTTCCCCAGAGCTCCCGGGTTGTCACGTGACTCTCTCAAGTGCCATTCCCGATGTGCAGCAAGGAAGAAGTTCCACCATACGTCTCCGTCCAGAACGACGGTCGGCTGACACTCGCTTAGGGTCCACTCAGGGACCGTAACAGAGACGCCAAGTGCGGCAGGGTGGAAGGGGGGAAGTTGGATATATAAACTGGATGAATTTCCTAAGTTCAGAGGAGGATTCTTTGTAGTTAATACTTCGTACTTATTGCGATACTATTCTACTTCTCTCTCCCACTCTCTCGCACACTCTCTATTGCAACCTCGCGGACCAAGTCGGTACTTAGCCTCACTCGCGTACTACACATCGCGCTGCCAGGAATTACAGAAGAAAACATACCTACCCACCTTCACGTCGCCTTGGGCTATATAAGCTCTTCCCGCATCCACTTACCCCTACTTCGGGTTAACCTAGTGCCGGCAACGCCACCTGATCAGTGAAGCATTAGCAAGACTAGGTGTTGGTAACACAATTTTGAATTTCCGTTGCCAAGCTGAGTTTGTCCTTTCACTCGTTAACAGTCCACTGTAGAAGCCGCCTGAGCGACAAGCCGAGAGCCTTATATTTGATCATGTGCCCACACCCAAGCCAACGCCTCTGTCGACCCCACGCAGCCCAGATTCCCGTTCTAGGACGGCAATGAGTCTAGTCATGACTATCTTGATAAGAACGGCCAAGGTGGCCGCACTGGAACTCCAACCCCGTCCCTAAACAGCCTTGGTGAAAAGAATAGCGAAGATGGTGTAAATGCTGAGGGAACGGCACAGGAGCTGCTCTATTCCCCAAGACAGTCCATCTCTCCTTTTGAAGGAGTAGAGTGGGAAAAGAACGGAAAGCGCGGTGATGATGAAGCCGGGGAAATCCACGAGGACAGCCTATTACCCAGATGATGAGGCTGGAGCACGAATAGCTCGACTCGGTCTTGCGTCCTACGAACATCCTCTCCAGGAACGAAAGCTGGAGGTGGAACTAACAACGACTATGGGCCTAGCGCCAACTTGGCTTATTAGATAATCGATCTCGTGCATTGTCTTGTTCCAGACGGCTAGTTACTTGTGACAGCAATTATGCGATGCAGCGAGTCGAATTTGTCTCTTAACTTGATAGCTCGGGATAACAAGCTCCTTGGTAATGAAGGCAAAGTCGTCTGCATGACGCAACTTTCGTCGGATTCATGGGTGCTACTGAGGTATCGATATGAGGATGTGTCAGGCTCATGTGACCGCGAAGGCTTGACGCTGGTTAATGCGGATCGGACGAGCAGCCCCCTTAGTGATACTGCCAATGATGGCACTAATCACTCAGACGACGTGGACGAAGAGGACGAGGACGGCTCGGGCGAATACAGGCCTCATGGTGCCAGCAGTGACCAGCGACTCGGCAGAGACGACATGCGTTTTCGCAAACGAACACATGTACCGTGGTCAAAGTCGAACGAACTGCGGTTGTTCGCATACAAGATAGATATGGATATGGTGTTTGCAGTAGTCACACGATAGTCAAATGCGTCGTCACCATGGTCGGATGCGTCGTCACCATGATCGTATGCATCTTACGATCATGGTGTTTATTAGAACGTAACTGTTACTGTTAGTAGTGTTTTTTAGGCGTTACTAACAGTAATAGGGTTTTGTTCTTATAAAAAGAGTAAATTAAAACAGCCTTACTAGTAGTAATAGTTACTGCTAAGTTAATTAATAGTAAAGCTACTGTTTAATGCAGTTACTGCAGTAACTAGTGTTTCTAGAGGCTCTAGAGGGCTTAATTTTAACACAATCTTCCTAATATAGTTGCAGAGATTGTTTAACTCTAAGTAAACAAGTCCTCTAGCAATCTAGTTATATTATAGCTGCAGAGCCTTAATTATAGAAGGTAATAGCTAGTTCTAATTAATTATAATAGTTCTTTTAGCTTTACTAAAGCACCTCTTGCACTTACAGCTTATTACAGAGATAGATAGAAAATTAAGGGCTATCTTATACAGCATTAGATAGTGCTTACGCCTAATTTAATGCTACTAAGTAAGCAGATCTCTATAGATTATATTGTTTTTAGCTGCAACTAGAAGATTAGATTAAGCAGTATTAATGTACTGCTGCAGCTTGTTTGCTATGTGTGCCTTCTTAGCACTTAAGGATCTAGTAAGGAGGTAGAGATTAACATGTAGAGTCTTTATAAACTGCTTATTATAGTACTTGCTACCTAGTGTTTTATGTTGTTAACTTTTAGTAGGTATCTTTATCTCTTACTTCTGCTTTTAAGCCTTATATTATGTGTAGATCTCTTTTACACTCTTCTTAGCTTTTTTTTACTAAGTTATAAACAACACCTACTTATCTTAGAACTAGATAAAGTGTAGAGATAAGTTTAAAAAAGTTGTAATATAGTAGTATAAAATAAAAGAATTTATTATAAGAGTTATAAAGTACATTATTAGCTTACTAATGCTGCGTTTATAAAGCTTCTTAAAGTAAAAGGACTATGCTATTTTCTAGGCCTTATAAAAGCAAATCTAGAGGTGTTAGAGATCTATAAGAGTCTGCTAGAGAGATCTATATCTGCTTATACCTAGATCTCCTTTAAGGCGTTTAGTTATCTAATAGAGAGGCTTAAAAAAGTTTATAAGCTGCTTAGCTTTATCTTAATTTTTATTAGTAAAAGTGTTAGCTAGAGGGCTAAAACTATTATACTTATTAATCTTACACTTGTTAGTAGCCCTTTATTAGTATGTAAACTTTAAGATAGCCTTTTTAAAATCTAAACAGTAAAGGAGCATTAGGTAGGTGGAATTCTATCTAATCCTGCTGTTCTGCACTAGTTTAAGCGTGCTAAACATCTAAAAAGAGTCCTCTTTAAGGACTTAACACTAGATAGTGGCAAAAAGCTTTCTCTGCTTATATAAGGCTATAATTGCGTTTATAAAGTTATAAAGTTTGCTAATTGCTTTACACCTCTAATATAGCTTAAACTAATTATAAGAAGTATAGTAAAAAAGCTTTTCTTTCTATATACTTAAACCTTTACTATAGATAATAGACTTAGCTATTAGGTTAATTATATGCCCTGCGCAGTGTATTTAGTGTGTATTACTTATAGAGAGCTTAGGGTGCTTGTTAAGGGCACAGATAAAGGTTTTATTATTATTAAAGGCATTATCCTCTATAAAGCAGCTAAATTTTAATGTAATGCTGTACTTATTAATAACTATAATAGCTGCGTAGGCAAGGTTTAATCTAGAGTAGTCTCTAAGTAGATTTTTAAAGCTAATAAGAACTTCTTAAGCCTTATTATTAGCATCTAGATAGAAGTTAGATTTAAAGTTAATAATAGCGCATAGACTATTTTACTTACTAATAAAGTAAGTAACTACTGCTAGGAAGAAGTAATAGTTTAGAGATTTCTATATGTCTACACTTAACATAATTTTACTTTTACTTAAATTTAGTATTAATTAAATCTTCTTCTTCTAAGCCTCTAATGCATTCTAGATATAAGTTAATAGTGTAGTAAAGGTAGATAGTAAAGTAGCTAAAAGATTAAGTTAATTCTAAGTAATAAAGCCCTAAAACTCTAATAATGTAGCTTAGCAAAATAAGACATCTTTAACTATTATAAAATTAATAAGAGCCCTTAGCAATCTTTTTTTTTGCTATAGTGTGTAAGAGCTTTTAGCACTACTTTTAGTAATCTTTACTAGTTTAAATAAGTCTTAATAAAGTAATAGGCTATCTAGAAGATAGTTACTTTTAAAGGCGTTAACTTTATGCTTCTTTTAGAGGTAGGCAGTAATATAGGCTGTAAAATTAACAGTCTTTGCATAATTCTTTGTACTTAGCTAATAGCAAAACTTATAGAGCTAGATCTTTAAGCGCTTGCTTTTCTTGTTAACATACACTAGATCTGCGCTGTATTTTTATATATAAGACATTTAAGTCTTTTTAGAAAGCTTTTTTAAGCTTTTTACATAATATCTAAGGCCTTTAGGCTTTAGCTAGCAACCTCTAGTCTAGATATTATCCTACTTAATGTTAAAATTTAGGCTATTATTAAGGCAAAAGTCTTTAGGAAACTTATAAGAATAAGGATTAGCTAGTTAAAGCGCAGGTAAAAAAACACTAGAAAATAAAGCCTTAATTATAAAGCTTTAAGAGCTTTAAAAGATAGCTTTTAACTTCTTAAAGTAATAAAAGCTTATAAAGTAAAGCTCTAAAGTACTTAAATAAGTAACATTAAACTAGTGCTAACGTACCTAACGGGTTGGCCGGCCACACGGGTTGGCCGGCCACTTTTGCCAAGCCCCCACTAAACTCTACCTATCTACATAATGCCTTAACAACAACACTAGATTAAATCTTCTAAAGAACGTTAAATACAGCTTGCTCTTTAGGCTTTTAAATAAAACTTAAAACTTTTCTTAGAACGCGCTGCAGCTATCTATAATGTCTCTTACACAACACTAAGCAATTAACGCGCTAGACAGCCTTTACAAGCAGAATGCTAGCCTAAATTAAGGAATCTAACTAAGCTTAAAAAAGAGGTAGTTGTTAAGTACATACTTAAGCTTATTACACGCAGATTTCCCTTTAGGCTTATAGCTGTAGCTAATATAGCTAATTCCTTGCCTATAGAGCGTAATCTAGGCCAGGTTAGCTTAAACTAGACTAGTATATAGGTTAAGCACTGCTCTAAGTTTATAATAAAGTTTAATTATAAGTATAATTACAAAAGAGCGCTTTATAAGGATCTAGAGGTTATCTAGAGCTAGTTTTGCCTAGTAGCTAACATAAAAGCTAAGTATAGTATCTAGGATAAAGACAGGTATAACTTTAACAAGTTAGGCTTTATAATAGGCTAGATATTAACTAGAGCAGTTGTTACAGCTTTAGAGAGATAAGAACAGCTAAAGGTAATATAGTAAAGTAATAAGAAGTAGACAACAGTTATTTAGGGCATTAACATAATAAAGTAGGCTATAAGATTATAGAGCTTTAAGCAGCAAATAAGGCTGCTACATAATGTAGATTACATAAAAGAAAGCAGATTTAGGCAGAAGAGACTTTAATAGTTAAAGATAAGGCTTGTCTAACTGCTCTAAAGGAGTTTAGAGCGCGTAGTGATAGAAAGAAGCTAAAGACGCAGGTGCGCGCTAAAGAAGGTAAGCTAAGTTAAAAGCAATGCAGGCAGTGCAATTAGACTAGGCATAACTTGCGTACGTGTAAGCAAGTAGCAGAAGTAGACTCTAAATAATATCTTGTGTTGTATTACTCTATACAGGGCTAAAGTGGGCTGTTTTGCGAGAGAATGGGGTGGTTTTAGTGGGGGCTTGGCAAAAGTGGCCGGCCAACCCGTGTGGCCGGCCAACCTGTTAGGTACGTTATAACTTTTAAGTGCTATGTAAAGTTTAAAGGAATTTTTGCATACTTATAGTAATAATAAAGGCAATATTAGAGGCAAGAAGTAGGTAAATTAAGAAGTTAATTTACTATTCTATACTAATAATAAATAGGATAGTTAAAAAGGTATAAAATCTAGTGTATTAGTGCGCGTTTTAACACCTTCTGTTCCACAGCAGCCCTTATACTACTACGCGTAAAAACGTCCTCCGCGAACGCGTTACTAAAACACTAAGAAATTAATTAGTATAGGCAGTTACTGCAGTAACTATAGCCTCATTAACTGTACAGTAACAGCAGGCAATTTACTTTTGTTCTAACTGCCAAGAGATTATTACTATCAGTAACAGTAGGAACAGTACTACGTTCTATTAAACACCATGCTTACGATGATCTATACTGCCAAGACTTACCCACTTATTTCGCATATATATAGACTCCTACAAGCACTCCTCTAGCAATTCATGCAATCCAGTTCCTCACGCCTCTAGTGCTCCTCATAGCTCAACATATGGAGTGGGAGGATATATTTTAACTCTTCTCGGATTGAGCCTCAGGCCCAGTACGGACACGCTGGCACATGCTGCGTGAGAATGACCCCCGCGCGCTGAAAGACAACACAAGCGCAGAGATGGATGAGGGCTCGGGTACGCTGGCCCTGGAGTGGCAGAGTTAAACAACTCTATCAGCAGCCGTGGTCTCCTCAAAACTACTCTCCTAAGCGCGGGAGACGACGGCGACGGTACATTACAGGGCTTCCAACGGGCCGTACTACGGTCCGTACAAAGTGAACCGTAACGGCCACGTGTTCAGTACGAACGTACCGAGTTCGTGAGCCGTACCGTACGTTTAATGATGCCCTAGGTACGGTACGTAGTACGGATCGTATTACCTTTTTGGGAAGTTTGTATAGGGGTTCTGGAGGGGTATGAGGGCTCTGGCGAGCAGGAGGCCTGCGGACGCTTAAATCTCTTTCTAAGGGTTTTAATCTATCCATCTGTCTGTCGTCTCAAAAATGCCTGTTACAGACCATTTTCTATTGCAGAGTTATCTATCCACGCCTCTTGCAGCCTTACAGGCCTCATCTAGTCCTATCTGCTCTTGTT